AATGACTTTGGTTTCAGCATTCAACTAAAATAATCAGTTTCATAGTGTTTATTTTAATGTTTATGATAAATATAGAGTATGGTCTTTCTGTCAACCTAGTGTAAATTATAATTTATACTAAACTTTTCTGTGGGACTTCTCATGTTGTCCCTGTTTTAAATATGGTATCTCATCTTTTCTTCATAGTTTACCAATTTGAATAGTTCTAAAGCTTGCCAATCAAAACACTGATGAGGTCAATGGTTGTACAAATAGTAGTTCTGGAATAGCTTGGGAGTATAGAAGTGGGAAAAACGTGAGAAATTGGCTCTACATAATCAGTTGTAGTTCCTTGTCAGTTTGCTTATTAGTTTTTAATCCACTAAGTGTATACAGAGCAATAATGCACTAAGGTTGCAGTGAAGTCTAATCAAGAAGGAGAAAAGCTAGTACAGTGAGAACGTCTGGCTCCTGCTTTATTACGCCCTCATACTTCTTATCTTCTTTGATGCCGTTTTCTCTTAAAATGTTATGTAATTTTGCTTCCTTTCATTAATATGTTAGCATTTGTGTTAACATAATTATTTTCATTTGCTTTATATATTTGTGTTGTTCGAATAGGAGGACACCTTCACCATATTTATTTAGTGAGATAAAGCAGCATGGTAATGAAGTTAGCTTTTCTCCTTGGAGAAATATTGAACATCTTTGATGGAATTTGCAGTGGCCACTCATATCCATTTATCTTTTCTTTGTTAATGACAGATCTCAGATTCCACTTAGGGCATTAGGTTGCTTAGTGAAAACAATACATTTTCCCAGCCAAACATATGACTGGGTTGTAGCCATGAGCTGTATGTACAAGTGCTATACTGACATCCAAGAACACTGTTTAAAAGGAGATAATTCATCTAGGAAGGGGGCCCTCTTTTTCCTTCTCTAAGTTCTCCTTGTTGTCTGGAATCTGTATTTCATGACTAGTACCACAGCCTTGTTGGACCCTAATGATTGAAACATTAAAGATTAAGACAGTAAAAAATAAACTTAAAAGATACAAGAGTCTCTGGTGACCATGGAGTCATCATGTCATCTCTATATTGCCCATGTCTAATTTTTTTTTTTTTACTTAGGAACTATAATTTTTAATTAAAATATCATATATACAGTAAAAAGCACAGATCTTAAACATATAGTTTAATCTGGTTTTTAAGCTTTTATTTATTGATTTCTAATTTAGTCAAAATGTAGTTTACAGTGGTATACAGGGTGCTTTACATTTATTATCTTTTGAAGTTTTTCCCAAACCCTTAAAGTGTTGGTATATTATCTCCTGTTTTACATATGAAAACACTGAGGCTTAGAAAGGTTAAGCAACTTGCTTATAATTATCAAGCAATTAAAGGAAAAATCTGAAATACAATCTAAGTCTACCTAAATGTAGTGCCTCAGTTTTTAGCCAATATAGTGTATTGGCATTAACTTGTAGCACTGTTTTTCTAAGAAAGTGAAATTTATCTATGATTTCTACTTCTATTCCTTGAACTGAATGCCCACATAAAAATGTAACTTCTGGTTTATAGTTTATATTTGTCTTTACACCAATGACCACACTAATGCAGACCACAAAACCCAAAGCTCTTATAGAAGCACTGACCTAAGTAAGCTGGATCAGATATCATAAGTGATTTTCATTTTGAGCGAATCAGTCTGAGTATATTCCCATACCTTATCATCTTGTCAATACGTCACATTCATTGTTGCAGAAATGAGTCTGAAATAGTCTGAAAGTCTGAACAGGGAATAGATTTACTCTGCAGTTGCATTGAATTGAGCTCTTTCTTCATTCTTCTCCTCCTAACTCAAATACATATTTGTGATATATATAGGTAATGTATATTAAATATATACCTATACATACACGTTTCTTTTGAAGCATTTTAAAGTAGTTGCTATTCTAGTTTTAATTATAAATGAAATAAATAATTTCTGAAAAATATAGGCAATGTTGTGAAGGAATTCCTATCACTTAGTAACTAAGAGATTTGAGGAATTTAGTAGAAAAAATTCTGATAGGCTGCAGTTGTTTTCTGTTAAAAATTAAGCGTAAGTCTTTGACAACTCTTCCTAAAAATTATGCTGAAAATACATGTGTGTGGGTCATAAATGACCTTATTATAAGAAAAATTACTCATTATAGCTGAATAAGACACTCTCCAGCATTGCTGTGATAATATTATTCTTATGGAATTATGATTATAAATTTCTGTTGACTCAGCTGCTGGGTGCATGAGAATCCATACTTGTGTTATGTATTCATTTTTTATTGGTGCTATAAAAAATTGCCAAAAACTTTATTGCTTAAGACAATAAAAAAGCATTGTCTTCCAATTCTGTAGCCCAGAAGTCCAATATGGGTTTTATTAAGCTAAAATCAAGGTATCAGCTTGGGTGGATACCATTCTTGTGACTCTAGAGGAGAATGCATTTCTTTGTCTTCTCCCTTCTGACACTGCCCACATTACTTGGTTTATGGCTCCCTTTGTCCATCATCAAAGTCAGCAACATTGCATCTTCCCTGATCATTCTTTAATAGTCATAGCTCCCTCTGACCACAACCAGCAAGTGTTCTGTCCCATTCAGATAATACAGGAGAATCTCCTCTTTGAAAGGTTATTTTTTCTTCTTATTTTAGAGATGGGATCTCACTCTGTCACCCAGGCTGGAGTGCAGTGGTTCAATCAAAGCTCACTGCAGCCTCAACATGTTAATCACATCTGCAAAATATCTTTTGCCATGTAAGGTAACCTATTTGCAGATTTAGAGAAATAGGGGATAGACATCTTTGTTGTCCGTTATTCTGTCTACCACACTTTGGCTGCTTGGAAGAAAATTATCCAGTCTAGCAGCAATACCTGTGGCCAAAGGCACAGAAAGGTCTTCATGCCAGCAGTTTGGGCCTCATTGATTAGATGATTTAACCGAAGGCAAAGAAATTAACAAATTTCTAGAAGTTATTAACAAAAAACACAAAATTGAGAAAGATATCCTGAATCTGTACTGCAATTCAAACTATGAAAACAGGAGACCCAAACAAAGGAATCTAAATCTAATGTGGGACTTTATCTAGAATATCTAAAGAACTCTTGCAATTACATTATAAAAAGACAAATAACCCAATTAAAATGGGCAAAAATCTAACTCGAGATTTCTTCAAGGTAGATATACAAGTGGTCAATAGACACATGAAAAAATACTCAACATCGTTAGTCATATGGGAAATACAAATCAAAATTACAAGACACCACTTCACACCCACTAGAATGGCTATAATCAAAAAGTTAGATAACAAGTATTAGGAGAATACAGAGGAATTGGAATCCTAATACACCGTGGGTGGGAATATAAGATGGTGTAGCCACTTTGTAAAACAGTCTTGGCAGTTCCTCAAATAAACATCGGAATATCACATGATCCAGAAATTCCACTCTTAAGAAATGAAAACAAGACCAGGGCAGTGGCTCATACCTGTAACCCCGACACTTTAGGAGGCTGAGGCAGGCAGATCACCTGAGGTCAGGAATTTGAGACTAGCCTGGTCAACATGGCAAAACCCCATCTCTGCTAAAAAATACAAAAATATTAGCTGAGCATGGTGGCGGGCACCTGTAATCCCAGCTGCTTGGGAGTCTGAAGCAGAAGAATTGCTTGAACTCAGGCAGAGGTTGCAGTGAACCAGGATTGTGCCACTGCATTTCAGCCTGGATGACACAGCTAGACTCTGTCTCAAAAAAAAAGAAAGGAAAAGAAAGAAATGAAAACATTCACCTACATAGACAGTTGTACATTAATGTCCATAGCAGCATTATTCATAATGGCCAAAAAAGTGAAAACAATCCAAGTGTGTATCAGCAGATGAATTGATAATCAAAATGTGATATTCTATATGATGGAATATTATTTGGTCAAATATAGAAATTAAATATTGATACATGCTACAACTTGGATGAACCTCGAAAGCATGCTAAGAGAAATAAGCCAGCCACAAAAGTCCACATGTTATATTATTCCATAATATGGAAGTCCAGAATAGGAAACTCTATGGAGACAAGGAGTAGATTAATGGTTGCTTAAGGCTAAGCACAGAGGGATGAGGGGATTCTTGGGGGTTAAAGAGTAATAGTTAAAGGATACAGAGTTATTTTGAGGTAATCGGAATGTTCTAAATTGTGATGATGGATTCACAACTCATATATCATAAGCCATTGAAGGCACAACTCTATATATCATAAGACATTGAATCATATATTTTACTTATTTATTTTTGAGACGGAGTCTCGCTTCAGTCAGGCTGAAGTGCATTGGTGCAATCTCCACTCACTGCAACCTCCACCTCCTTGGTTCAAGCAATTCTTCTGCCTCAGCATCCTGAGATATTTTTTGTATTTTTCTTCTTCTTTCTTTTTTTATTGTACTTGGGCTCTGGGGTACATGTGCACATCCTGCATCCTGAAGGATTGTTGCACAGGTACATATATGCCATGGTGGTTTGCTGTATCCATCCCCTCAACACATAAGGCATTTCTCCCCGTGTTATCCGTCCCCAACCTCCGAGTCCCCCCACTGTCCCTCCTCTTCCCTCCCATCCACCCCCTCACCTACCCCAGTGAGTGTTGTTCCCTTCCCTATGCCCAAGTGTTCTCATTGTTCGTCACCCGCCTATGAGTGAAAACATGCAGTGTTTGATTTTCTGTTCTTATGTCAGTTTGCTGAGAATGATGGTTTCCAGATTCATCCATGTCTCTACAAAGGACACAAACTCGTCGTTTTTTATTGCTGCATAGTATTCCATGGTGTATATGATTTTTTGTATTTTTAGTAGAGATGCGGCTTCACTATGTTGGCCAGACCAGCCTCAAACTCCTGACTTGGTGATCACCAGCCTCAGCCTCCCGAAGTGCTGGAATTATAGGCTTGAGTCACTGCACCTGGCCTGAATCATATATTTCAAATGGGTAGATTGCATTTTTACAAATTTTCCTGGGCACATAGTAGGTGCATATATTTAAGTGGATTGTGTTGTATGATTTTAATTGTATCTCAGTATATCTGGTTTCTAAGCAGAATAAAACAGAAATTATTCTTGTCATGATAAAAACAATCCAAAAAAGTGTGGCAGGCCCAAACTCGAGATCTACCTATTTGGGAAATGTTTTTTCCAATAATTTAAAAGTTGTGAAAAACTCAGTTCTCAGAGCTAGGTGATAATGAGGAAGTAAATTGCTCTCTAATAAATCATTAGTTAACTTTCCTCCTTCAAACTACTACTGATTGCAGTGATGCAGTTTCTACCTAGAGTCTGTAACATGTAGAATGACAAATATGTGCTTGTGACATCGTTCCCATGTCACTTCAGAAACAGTTTGCTCGTGATATTTTGGGTTAGATGATTCAAATAGGAAAGAAACATTTTGATCCTAAGTATGTATATCTCTTCAAATTAAATGTTAATTTCAATTAAAATCTTTTATTTAATCACTAACAACACCATTAAACAGTCAATAACATGTGACTGTTTGCTTCTTCTACTCCTCCCTTGCAACATCACAGAGGTCCATTTGTTCACACAAAACCCACATGAAAATAGGACTCAGTGTTTCATATTGCATAGCTTATTGAGTACGTTTAGAAGAATTTTGCCTCCAAAATTAAACCAGAAAATATGACTCAGTGAGAACGCATGGTGGCGCTGCAGGCTAAGATGACGGAAAATACAATTGCCTACCCAGCTCCACGATCCAGCAAACCGTTTCCCAAAGCCTGGAAGCAAAAGAATAGCTGAGCCAGAGCAAATGCGAGTGTGAAACCTCTTTAAGACACCACTGAGCTGCTTGGTTCTGACATTCTGGACTGCAAAACCGTGCTACTAGGATCCTGGGGGTACATGAAGCTTCTGTGAGCCAAGTTTTCAAGAAAGAGCAATGGAGATTGGATGGATGCACAATCGGAGACAAAGGCAAGTCCTTGTTTTCTTTGTTTTGCTGAGCTTGTCCGGGGCGGGCGCCGCGTTGGGGCCCTATTCCATAGTGGAGGAAACCGAGAGAGGCTCTTTTGTGGCAAATCTAGGAAAAGACCTGGGGTTGGAGTTGACAGAGATGTCCAGCCGCGGGGCCAGGATCATTTCCCAGGGGAACAAACAGCATTTGCAGCTCAAGGTTCAAACTGGGGATTTGCTCATAAATGAGAAGCCAGATCGAGAGGAGCTATGCGGTCCCAGTGAGCCTTGCATACTACATTTCCAAGTGCTCATGGAAAACCCTTTAGAAATATTTCAGGCTGAACTGAGGGTGATAGATATAAATGACCATTCTCCCGTGTTCAATGAGAAGGAAATGGTTCTAAAAATACTGGAAAACAGTCCTCTAGGAACTGAGTTCCCTCTGTATCATGCTGTGGACATGGACGTAGGAAGCAATAATGTTCAAAATTATAATATCACCCCAAATTCCCATTTTGGGGTTCTAACCAGAGAACGCAATGATGGCAGGAAATATCCTGAGCTAGTGTTGGATAAAGAGCTGGATCGGGAGGAGGAGCCTCAACTAAGATTAACCCTGACAGCGCTGGATGGGGGTTCTCCACCGCGATCTGGAACCGCCCAGGTCCGCATTGAAGTGGTGGACATCAACGATAACGCCCCTGAGTTTGAGCAGCCCATCTACAAAGTGCAGATTCCAGAGAACAGCCCCCTTGGCTCCCTGGTTGCCACCGTCTCCGCCAGGGATTTAGACAGCGGAGCCAATGGGAAAATATCATACACACTCTTTCAGCCTTCAGAGGATATCAGTAAGACTTTGGAGGTAAATCCTATGACGGGAGAAATTCGACTGAGAAAACAATTAGATTTTGAAACAACTATGTCTTATGAAGTGGACATCAAGGCCACAGATGGGGGAGGTCTTTCAGGAAAGTGCACTCTTCTCCTGCAGGTGGTGGACGTGAATGACAATCCTCCACAGGTGACCATGTCTGCACTCACCAGCCCCATCCCAGAGAACTCGCCAGAGATTGTAGTTGCTCTTTTCAGCGTTTCAGATCCTGACTCCGGGAACAATGGTAAGATGATTTCTTCCATCCAGGAAGACCTTCCCTTTCTTCTAAAACCCTCAGTCAAGAACTTTTACACCTTGGTAACGGAGAGAGCACTCGACAGAGAAGCAAAAGCTGAATATAATATCACCCTCACCGTCACAGATATGGGGACTCCAAGGCTGAAAACGGAATACAACCTAACAGTGCAGATA